ATCGTTGTTCATCCATGTGCGCCTAGAGATTGAGAGCGAGTAAGTCTTCTACTCCACGGCTAGCTTCTCTCTACTCTCCCACAATCGAATGGGCAAAACCCGAACGAACATTCCACTGGAACACGGGCAAATACACCCGACTCCTCCTGTATGGTAAGTACCCACCTGCCCCAACTCTCCCAGCCTTCCTTCTAACATCTTTCTGTTTCCTCGTTCTGAGTTGCCTTTGCCCCTTCCGCCTTCAATCGTTACTGAAAAGAAATACGGTTTGAGAGTGAATCTTTCGTCGAAAGGCGACTGGATTCATTCCCGTTCATACTCCCGTTTCTTATCTGCAACTCCCATTATCTGGATCGTTGAATCCGCCCGTTTTCCCCGATTTGAACCTCCTTTCGGGGCGCGCCACCTGAAGGCCTCACTTTCACCCCTCCCCCTTTAATTCGTTTACTAACGAACGGGCTATGTTAATCTCCTCTCCTTCCTCCTTTCTCCTCCATAGCTCGCGTGCAGTACTTTTCTCCTGCTAGCCCGTAATCTATTTACTTTTTACTCAAACTAACAGCATATTCTAACTCGCCCGGTCAAAAAACTTTAATCTAGTATCTTTATTTGTCGAAAACGATCAGAAAATGAGCGAGTTACTTCAATTTCGCTCTTGTTTCGTCTTCTTTTCCGACATCCTCCACGCAGCACCTTCCTCTTCTACCCTCATATCTACTAAACCACTGCCGAAACTAACCTTATCAACAGATTCGCCCTGGCCAAAAAAACCCGGAACGAATCCCTCCTTGCCTAAATCCGATCGAAGACAAGGGAAATAAGTGTTTCTTCATCCTCCCTTGTCTTCACTCCCGCCATCTCTTCACTTCGGCCCACTGACTCCTCTTCTAATCCTCTAATCTACTAACTTCTAGCCTAATCTAACTGCAGATTCAAGGTCGTCCGTCCTAGAAACCTCCAGATTGCCTCTTTCCCCGCCTATTCTTGTCAAGGATCGGGCGGATTACAACTTCCTTCCCTGTTTTGCCATAGTTGCGCCTTCCACTTCGCCATGCCCGCCCATATGCACCCCGCGCGGTTTCGTGGCCAGATTCGGCCTCCCTGTCGCAACGCTCTGCCTCCTGCCTGCTTCACTCGTCCTCACGGTTTTCAGCCCGACAGTGCCTCGTAGCGATCAACCCGTCGCCCTCTGGCTCGCTGCTCGGCTTCCCTTTTTCCGATCAGACAATGTCTTAGCGCAATAGCTCGACCGACAGCGCTCGCTTACTAGGGAAAGCTTCGGAGGGAGCCGGGTAGCGGACTACCCGACAACGCTAGCCACCCTGAGAGAAACTTCGAGAGAAAACTGGCCGCTAGCCGGTTCGACTAGTCATTTGCTCCTACGCCACAGTCCGACGAATGATTTGCCCGTCAGTATCGCAGCGCGCCTCACTCCCAGCGCCCGTGGCCTGGCCCGTGTGAGGGTTGGGTCGACCAAAAGGAATAACACAAAACAACCGAAGCGAAAAAAAACCCACAGGGGTTGTGCTAACCTTCTCTGTATCGATCCAATTTTAACAGATGTTCCGAAGGACTTTTTACAACGGCGGCGCTTCTCGACATCTCCGAAGGCCGCTCCGCCCCCTCTTCCTAACCTTTTCCCATGCGCTTGCCCCCCCCTTTCCGTCCGGCTTCATCCCTAGACCTACGGGCATCAGTCGGCCCCCAACGACCAAGCTAATCCTCTATGTTTCGTTCCAATTTTGACGGATGTCCCGAAGGACTTACCCACAGTAGTGCCCCACAGAGTTGCCGAGAGGGAGCGCAAACCTCTTTTCCAGAGGCACCGGGCCCTACTTCGAGCCCAAATTCGGTTTTCCCCGACAACCTCACTTCTGCACCGCGAATAGCTTGGCCCGTAGCCCCCATGATTGAGGTGGTCATATACCCTACGAGCGAACCAGCTACCTTTCTCCACCGTCCCATCTGCCTGATAGCCTTCAGTCACTCTCCCTTCTTCACCCCTAGGTCGAAGCCAGCGCGAGGTTAGCGCCCCGGGTCTGAACAACGCGGAGGCCAGGCTGAACGAAATGTTAAGCAAGCAAACGAACCAGATAAATCCCGCCTTCGTTATTATGGGTATTCCGAAGGACAAACGCCCGGGCGATGCCCACAGCAACTCGCCACGATGGTTTTACCCACCGGGTTCGACCACGGGCCTGTATTTCCAACGGTTCGCGGGCGTACCCATGGCGTCTTTGCGTCCACATAAGGACGCGATAAATAATAATAACTAAATAAATTTTAGAAATAATATATGTACAGTTTGTCACAGCCCCTCGTTTGTTGTCCTCTTCTCCCTCTCTGCCTACGGTTTATCGGGCAGTTCTATTTGACGATATATATACATATAAAAACAACAAGCGGTAGCCGGGCAGGGACCACGACACCCCTCTCAGCCTGCCGGTCAACCCCACGCTCGGCCCCGCGGTAGCAAAAGGCGAGGGGGATAGTCCCACAGACCCATCAACCCCTCAAGCCTTTTCGCCACGCTCCTCCGCTCCCTTGCTGCATACTGTTGGCCTCGATCCCTGTGTCTACTGCGTACCAGTCAAGTGTTGTAACCTATAGGGCTAAGCCCAAGCCTGGTACTAATAGGTCCGACTCACCTTATAAAGAGGTAGCGCACGGCCCTTGGGGCCAAGGAAACGTCGTATGCCACTTCCCGGCCCACACTTGCACAGAGGACCACCAAAAACTCACGTCGGCCTAGCCAAATCCATCAGGTCCCATCATTTGGATTTTCGCTAAAGTCCATACAGGCTCATTGGACTGTCCACTGTACCATGCGGAACTAGAGAAAAGAGCGCCTATAGGTTAGTCAGTTTAATCAAAACAAACAATTTGTTAAAATGAAGCACGCCGACCGGAATCCACACCGCGTTTTCCATTGCGATCAAAGAGAGAAAAATCACGCACGTCTCAAACCTGCGCGCCCACACACTTTCTAATCCTAGATGTTACCGCCGAATCTTTAGTCTGCGCGCCTACGCAACTCGCGCGGTCTTCCCATAAATTCTGAATCGACCCATTTCTCTGTCAACTACAGAAACCCAGTGCGAGTACCCTTGCAAGGGTATTCGCACCGACTACCGGATCATAATAAGCGACGTTCCCGTCGCTTACCGGACCATATCAAGCGACTCCCTCGTCGATTCGCGAGATCGAAAAGTTATCAGATTACCCAAAATGCTGACCAAAATAGGAAACAATCCGATTAGCCGACAGAACCAAGGTGGAGGATCCCATCAAAGCATGCCTTTGCAACTATATGCTGCCAGGGTTCCAATCCGGGTCCCCATTGCCGCTGTCAATAGGATACTGACTGCATAAGTTTCAAAGGCTTTCCCAATTATCCTCTCACCCTGGCCCTAGACACCCTTGGGCTTCTCGTTGGGTGTCCCTAGTCCTGGCTAAAACTACGGACGCGGGCCCTAATCGAGACCTTTGAAGGCACGCTCGCCTTCCTTCCCAAAAAGTTCCTCACAATCAAATACACATATGTATATATACATAATCTCCACTCTGCTCTTTCTGCAGTCTAGTACAGAAAGGCCAGATCTCCATCTTGGCCCACCATAGCCTGCCTGATCAGACCACCCACCGCGTTGTTATTTAGCGGCAGTACCCTCGCTGGTTGCGCAACGATGAGCTTTCCCCTAATAACCATCCAATCAGGGCTTCCAAAGAAAAAAAACTCGACTCTTACCCCGCAAAGCAATTTTCCCTAGGGCGGGCAACTCCCCGTAAACTCTTACTCCGCGGTCCCGCAGCCAGGTTGCGCAGGCTAGCAGCCATCCACTGGGGTTGCGCCCTAGTGGCGCTAAACTTCTTTTCCACTAGCTTGGCCTTCCTTCAATATGTCTCGGAACTAGCACAAGTGGTTAAACAAGACATCTCAAAACAAAAATCACGGGCCCACTGCGAGGTTACGCAGGAGCCTGAAGGCATTTACCAGCTCCCCCTCAAGAGGCATGGCATCCTTCGCACAATCACAAGCATAACCACCAGTAGGTCCACAAGGCCGTGACCCCTGACTTGATCGGAGCCAGCAACCACCCATTTTGAGACATCTCTCGCCCTGTACCCATTGCAACCTTCTCAAACACTTCAAGCAAACATGGCCCTTTTCGTCAGACTTTATCACTCATCAGACAACTTATCATGCCATTAATCAGTTCACCCATCTTTAGGGGTGATTCTTTCAACAGCCCAAACTACCCTCTTTTTCAAAAGTCCAAGGGAATTTCATCACAGAGCAAAACACCCCCTCCTCCAAAATCACGAGAGGTCTCATCATAAAGTCAAACATCTCCCCTTTCCAAAAATCTAAGGGGGCCTCATTATGGAACAACCATCACTGAGAGACCATCTTATGGGTCCTCATCACAGCTTAAGCAATCAAATATTCAACATGATAAAGCATTCGGGTCTTAAAGACCCACAAATCCCTTAGGATCCTCACGATCATTCACAAACAGACTGTACTCCCCCTTCTTATACTCTGCTCTATCCCCTGCCCGTACGCAAGCCGCACGAGTATACCGAAGAGTAGACAGTTTCACATAACTCACATCCATTAAACATGAGATGCATTATGAACATCTCTCACACAAAACCATCATCCATTAAACATGTGAGTGTGAGAGTGATCGTCATACATAAGGAATAGTCTTTAGGAAAAAAAATCTTGTTTGAATACACACTCAGGGAAAGAAAATGCCCCGCACACAAATGTGTCCAAGCCATAGCTCACTCACCTCAAACAAACCCAACTCACACTAGTACTACCCTCAAAATACATACTGGGTTTGTCTCTCAAAGGTCAGGGTGTAGGCCACCTAAATATGTACACGCCCCATCTATCACGTCATGGCCCCCAAGATGACAAGCCCAGTAGAAGTCCAAATCCAAACCATCAATCAGATGCAAGTGAACATCTAAGCCTAAAAGATGTCATCTAATCCTAAGCTCAGGTCCTACGTACAATATGCCAACCATATAGGTAGACCAGTCCTACTCGCTCATCTCCTCCTGGTTTTGCCTATATAGTTGAGCCTTACCCCCATCTGCCGATCTTTCCACTCTCCTGCCGTGTCTATCATACATCCTGCCATCTTCCTTTGTAACTTTCCCCTCAGCCTTGTCCTTTAGAAATTTAGGACACTGCAAGGCTCGATGACCTTCCTTCGTACAGAAGAAGCAGGATGTATCAAACCACTTCCTTGATCTCTTCTTCCCCCTTTGGGATCCTGGCGATGATGGCGCTTCGTTGGCCTCCCTGCTCAGCTCATGGCTCTGAGGCATATCCAAAGGCTCCTCTCCTGTCTCCATCTCCTGGGTACTCGGCCCTGGTCGATCCCCAACCCCCTCTGGCCCATACTCAGGCGTGTCCAGTTTCTGGGGCCTGCCCTCAATGACACCCTTTGTCTCAATCCCCATCTCTCTCTCAAGAGGTTCCTCTATCCTCTGCTCAGGCCAAAACAAACTCGCCTCCTCCTGCATAGTATGCACTGCCTCAAGAAGCCCGTCCATGGATCCCTCTGCCGAGCCTTGAGCTGGCTCACTGCTGGATGGTGGTTGCCCCTCCTCAACTGCCAATGGCACGACTGGGCCCGCTGCTATTATAGGTAGCGTCGCGAGTTCAGTAGGGGCTCTGAACTCGAAGGCCTCTCTCTTTGCCTCCCTCTGGGCTCTCGCCTCCTCTGGTTCCAGGATAACTCTCCCCATAGGTGGGTCCTGGCGGGGCTCCGCTGCAGATGGTTGTCCTGGCAACCCCTGTCCTGGCCGCCTCTGCTCTCCTTGTCGGCTGCTCTCGGCCTTGTCCGCTCCCCCTTGACGCTGCTGCCTCAAGTCCTCGATAATGGTAGCCTGACTAGCTACCAGAGCTCTGAGCTCTTGGATCTCTACCTCCATCGTCTCTAAACGTAGCCCATGACCCTGTTCCTTCATCTTTTTTCCCACCAGATCGCTTTCCACCAACAGATACCGATTGAAACTGGTCTTTGCTAGGAATTTGATCTTGCGATCCAGCCTCTTTTCTGCTTTCCTTGCCACCTCGAATCCAGCTCTTGTTGGAGAAGGAAGCCCTTCCGCCCTTTGCTCCCAAAAGTCTCTCCTCATCTCTGGGATTTCGGGGGCCTTAGGTGGCGCGCTGGGTGGCTGATCCGGAAGTGTCCCTGCTGCCTCCAACCCCTGCCTTTCCTGCTGCTGCTCCGGAAGTGCCCCCACTGCCGCCAACCTCTGCCTTTCCTGCCATATCTCTTCTATTCTCCTGCTTCTTCTCGCCCTCTTTTCCTCAGCTGTCTCGCCAGCTGGTGCCCTCTCCCTCGTGCGATGGCTGACCCTCTTTGGGATCTTTGCCTCCACCTCCTTCTCAGGCTGGCATGACTCCTGGCGTGGCTCTGCAGCTGCTGGCTCCTCCAGGTCTGGGTGCTCCAGGGTATGAGCTGCTAGGTGCCTGTCAATCAAAGCCAAGGCTTCTCTCCTTACAACTGCAATCTCTCTCTTGCTTTCTGTTCTCCTCTCTGGCGAAGGAGCCTTTTCTGATGAGGGCAATGGGGCCTCCTCTCTCTGCAATCCCTCTCCTGCCTGGCGAGTGCTCCCTGGTGCATCCCCGAGTTTAAAACCCACCGCTGGAGTCTGAGGGGGCGTGTCCTCTCCAACCTCTATCACTTCCTTCCCTGCACGTCTCCCCTCATCGCCCAGCCCTCTCTCTCGCTGAGTATCTCAGACCTCCTCTCGTGGTATCTCCTCGCGTGACTCCTCCTCACGTGGCACCTCCTCGCGTGACTCCTCCTCACGTGGCAACTCCTCTGCCTATCCTCCACGCTCCTCGCCTCGAGGCGACGTCCCCCATCGAGAGACGTCCAGATGCGCCTCCAACTCTCTCAGCGGTCCCTCAGATGCTGGCGCCTCCTCCTGTGTGCGCACTGGCGACCTCCTCAATCCACCCTCGGTAAAATGATGGAACTCCACCGGCCCCAGCCCACACTTAGCATACGCCCCTCGCTCCTCTCCCTCAGGCTCCGACTCCTCTTCTCTCCTGGCTAGGGCCTTCCGTCCCCCTCGAGATGGCCTTGCCTCACTGGGCTCAGGGTCCCTCTGCCTCCTGATCCTTTGGCGCCTCTCAACTCGGGGCCGAGGCGACTCTGGCCGTCGAAAGGCCTCCCTCAAGTGTGCCCTGCAGCTTTCCCAATCCCGGGCCATATCTCTGATCTGCCTAGCCAATGGTCTCTCCGCCTTTCTGGTCAAAAGGGGTAGCGTCCTCGCCCAGTCATCTCTCGGTATACCCTGCCCCTGCATGAACCACTCGAAGGCGAGGATAAAGTCCGCCGCGTTTCCGATCTCTAGGCGAATCGGCCTGGCATCAGGTCCCACAGGCGAGGGTCGTAGCTCCTGCATCCTCATCTCCACCTCCGGTCTCGTCATCGCCTCCCTACGGATCCGGGCAATGAGCTCCTCGAATCTACCGGCTCCCCCCAATCTCTCAATCGCTTGGGCCACGGTCCAGCCCATACGCCTGGCATGGTCCCAGAAACTGTCCAGGAATAGCTCGATGTCCCCATCATCGTATACCGGAGTACTCTCTCGATGGCGAGGCCCATGCCGCTCATATCCTCCTGATGCCCCCAACGGCCTTTGTGGCGGCCGTGTCCCCTTCCCTCCTCTTGGCATGGCCGTCTTCGTAAAGTCAGACCTGCACAACAGGCGAAGGAGACAATAGGCACACATTGGGGTAAGCAAACAGGTGATAATCAAAGCAAGCTCAGACAAGACCATACTAATGCAACATGCAACCTATCTAACCTACACATCTTATCGCTTTTACTCTAAGGGAAGTCATATCATCTCTTTCACCTCTTCTCTCGCCACAAATTTCTTCAGCCACGTTCCAGATACCCAGTCCTTCTATTCAGTCCCATTCAACTCTTCAATCTGGTACGCTCCAAAATCTCCACACCGCACGATCCGGTAGGGACCTAACCACCTCTTGTCGAGCTTCCTGGACCATTACTTCTCCAATGATGAATCGTACAGGAGCACGACGTCCCCAACTGCCAAGGGTACTTTCCTCACTCGCGCTGACTGATCCCAGCGAGCCTTATCATCCATGCGGCTCCTCTCCACTTGATTGGACGCCTCCTGGATCCTTTCCTCTATCGCCCCCACCTGACGCGCCCGAATATCGAGTAACTCTTCAAAAGACAGGTTGACTTCTAGATCCTGGCGCCTCCAGGTTTTAAGAAAGCTCTCGATTGGGAAGGTGGCATGTCTTCCATACCACAACGTCGCCGGTGCGTACATGGGGGATCTTTTCACTGTAATGTTCTCGACAAAGAATGTCGCCCTTAGGTACCTTGGCCATTGATTAGGCCTACCTTCCATCCACTTAGCCAGGAGGTTCGAAATGGTATTATGCCCTCTTTCTACTGGAGCGTTCGCCTGGGGGTGCGCGGCCGTTGTGTAGTTAGCTACTACACCATACCTTGATAGCAACTCCTGCACCTCCTGGCAGGTAAACTCTGATCCCCTGTCTATTACGAACTCCCTGATGAAAGGATAACGCAGGTAGTACTCCTCGATGCAGCTAACTAAGACCAGCCCAGTCTTCGTACGAATGGCACGTCCGTCTACGAAGCCAGACAGGTTATCGCGCGCATCGAAGATGTAGTTATAGCCCTGATCCCCAAGCGGCGTGAAAAGTAGATCGAGGTGCACTATAGCCCCTACCTCTCGCTCTAATTTTGGATGTAGCGGCTCTCCTTGCCTCAAACAGGACCTCTCCTGGCAGGGCACACAAGATCGGCAGAACTTCCCAATCATGTCCATCATTCCATCCCAGTAATACAACTCACTTATTTTGGCGTATGTGGCTTGTATCCCTCGATGCCCTCCTGCAATGCCATCATGAAGTGCTGCTATAACGTCAATCTGACGATTCCTACCGCAGACGACTCTCCTGGGATTCCCCACTTCTCTCCTTACGAATAGATGACCATCTCGCACCAAGTAGCGCTGCATCATCCTTTGAGCCCTATCGCTCGCATCTCTAAGCCGCACTTCGCATGACAGAAGGAGTCCCAACTCCAGGTAGATCCCTTCATACTCCTCTGCACGAAAGACCTCTTTGATCTCACTCTCTTCAAACTCGTCGTCCTGGCTCTCGGGCACCTCGTCCTCATTCCCCGCCGGATTCAACGAGTCTGCTTGATCAAGGTTTTCCTGGAGTAGTGTGTTGACGAGGAGATACATTCCCCCCATCAGTTCCTCATGCCTTTCTACCTGGCCTGACCCCTCCTCTATTGCCCTCATATCTTCCACTAGGCTATGCGATCCAGCTAACGCCAACTTCATCATCCACTGAACATCTTTACCACCCCAGGGATCCTCTTCCTCAAAAGGCTTAAGGACTAGCTCCGCCTTTCGTTCATACCCGCTCGGCGCCTGCCGGATAGGATGGCGCACACAACTGGGCACTCGCGGCGACCACTTGTTAATGTGGAGACGGACATCTTCCTCTTGATCCAAAAATTCATCAACTGGGGGCGTATTCTCCACCGCCTCTCCTTCTTTACCATCCCAGTTGATACGACTCAGCCCGTCCGCTCGGTTCTTGTTTCCAGGGATCCGTTCTAACTCGAAGTTAAATATCCAGATGTACGTCAGCCACCTGACAACTGTTGGATCCGATGAAACGTAATTCCTTAGAGAGTAGGCCAGGGCAGTCGGGTCCACTCTCAATATAAATCTCCTGCCAAAGATGTAGTTTCGAAAGATTCGCAGACAGTGGAGGACGGCAAGGGTCTCCCTCTTGAACTGAGAATAGTTCCTCTCGGTCGTACAGAGAGTCCGACTCTCAAATCTCAAAGGCCTTTCCTTTCCCTCCTTGTCTCCTTGGATTAAAACCCCTCCTAAGGAAGTTGGTCCCGCATCCGTTTCAACAATGAAGGGCCTCGTTTCCGTGGCGTCATCGTTTGGCGCCCCCAACACCAAACCCCCTTCTCGGAACTCTTCCTTCATTCTGGCCACCACCTCTTCCTGCTCTTCGCCCCAAACCCACTCCTGATCCCGACGAACTAACTTTCTCAAGTGCTCAGTCTTAGCGACAAAGTTTTTGACGAAGGCCCTCCAAAATCCGCACGTCCCAAGGAAGCTTCGGACATCAGTTATTGAGTGGAATGGAACTGGTCACTCAGTAATCTTGTCCGTCTTCTTTACATCCGGTCGTCGGCTCTTCTCACTGCAGACGAACCCCATGATAGTAGCTTCCCTCATGCAGTGTCTGGATTTGGCCCCGCTTGCCATGAGGTTATGCTCCTCGAGCAGGCTCTGGATTTTCTCGAGGTCTTGGATATGCTTCCAGACAAAACGTCTTACCCCCGGCAAGACCTCGTCACTCTCCTTCACTGTCGGCCCCTTCACTGCCAGATCATCGATATATGGCTGCGTGATATGAGGGTTGACCGACTGCATGGCTCGTATCATGGTCGTTGGACCATCGCTACTGCATTGGTTCATCCTTGCGGAGCCACACTCATGTGGATTAATCCTCGAGGCGTATGCATAGCTGTCACTGACCTGTCAGGTGGATAAACCGGAAATTGGTCATACCCCGAGTAAAGGTCTATAAGCGAGATTATAGGCTTTCCAGCACAGGATTCTGACAGCGCGTCCACGTTAGGCAACCCTCCTGCATCTCGCACAGTCACCGCATTTAATCTTTGCAAGTCTTGCACCCACCGCAGCGTTCCGTTAGGTTTGATAAAACAAAACCACGGGGACGCATACGACCTACTCGAGTAGTCGGCGACATGCGTGCGTATCTTGTCGTCGAGGTAATCCACCACCTTCTTCTCCTCGTGAGGATTAGGATATCACGCCCCTCTTAGGTTCCACGGTTCGTGCGGCACGGTATGGATGCGGATCATAGGTATCTTGTCCACATCCAATCTGCCACGCTCCTCATCGCTGAACGCATAGGCGCGATGCCTCTTCTTCATTAACTCCACCATCAAGGCTCGTTCCTGAGGCAACAAGAAGTCGGGCTCTCCTATGATCAATTTCTCCTCGTTCCCTTCGTTGATGCGGCATAGCCCTGCTGAAGCTTTCTCCTTCATCCGTCGTATCAACCCCCGCTCTCGTTCATAGTACACCTCCTCGTCCTCAGTAACGAGGACAGGGACTGGGCGACACTTCTGGTCTACCGTCTTCTACGCCTTTGGGAACCCTGCTTGAGCCGCCCCCTAAAAAAGGCTGACTCACAGATTGCGCCTGCATCACCGCCGGGTTCCTCCTGCCATCCGGAAGACGATATATCAGCTTCAATCTCCATGCCTCGGGGCATTCCAGGACCTGCTCCCTCAATGGTTGGATGGCATCCGGATATGCCATCTCATGTGCGACCACCAACTCCATGACCTTCCTCACGTCCGACAAGCTGAGGGAGAATGCTTCAATCCTCTCCGTCTCTTCTGGGTCCGCCCGGAGTCTCCGGCGCTCGCCTTCCGACTCCTTGATCGTGAAAGACCCTGAATTGGGACGATTCCTTATACTTTTTGGCCCTGTATTCCTGCAGCCTGCAGGTGATGACTTCATAGTTTCCGCAGGCAGGGTCACACAAGAGAAGGATCAGAGTCCCGTCATGCTTATTAAATATCACCGTCTCTGTCCTGCTCAGAAAGGACCTCCCCAAAAGAATCCCGTGATCCACGTCTGGCATGACGAAGAAGCATGCCCTGGCCTTTACTTTCCCAACCTCGATGAACACATTCGAGGCTGTCCCACAGAACACGGCCTTGTAGCTTGCCCCGTGTAGAATGCCGCAGTCAGATCGGTCTATATCTAGTCCGAACCTGATGGCATCCGCCTCCCGGATGATATTCATCTCCGCCCCTGTGTCCACCATCGCTGTACACTTGGAGCCCTTCACTACCAAATCCACTGTGCCGCAGGCCACACACTTCCAGTCCATCTTCGTGCCCGACTCTGCCCACTCCGCCTCCTTGGGCAGGATCGTACCCAGATGGACGTTGGCACCAGACACCGCGACAACCTCCCTTTCAATCCATCGCGGGGCTTAGGGGCTGACGCCAAGATTTCCTTCAAGGTCATGAGGTCGTTATGGCCTTCTAACAACCTGTCGATCACCTTCTCTACGTCAAACCCTTCTTCCAGCCGGACCGCATATTTCTTCTTCAGCCGTCACCGCTTGGCATCGGATCGAAGGTTGAGGAAAAGGAATAGTACACGGCACTTCGACGCGGAAAGCGTCGCGAATGGTAGGAGTCCGCCGGTGGAAGTTGACTGTGTGATCTGCACTTGCAAGCCAAGGCATTCCCAAAATAATGTCGAAGTCCATGTCCAAAATGTCGAACGTCACCGGTTCGCATGCATGAGGTGCGAAATACACCGGTACGGCCTCGATGTAGAGGTCGATAAGTTGTTGCGTCCTTCCGTCCGCCAACGTTATCATCGTCAGGTTTGCCTTCCTCCGAACTTGTGTGCCGAGGCCAACCCTTTGCATAAAGGCTTGGCTCATGAAATTGCGAGACGTGCCGTTATCCATTAAAACGTTGCAGGACGCTTGCCCAACTTGGATGCAGACATAGAGGAGCAGTGCATTGTTGTCATCGTACCGCTGCTTGCGAAACTCGCGGGCCACCTTGGTAACATATGCAAGGATGTCCCCCACCGCAACTGCGTTATCCGAAGACGAAGTTGGTGGTGCATAAAAGGATAAGTACGTGTGAAGATGGGCGCATATACTGTGCATTGTGATCCCGGCAAGCGGCCCGTGGTGGGGAGAGGAAGTCATGCGAAATCCTCAGACGTGAGCGGGTCCAATACCTCTTTGTTGAACTCGCGCGCCGAATCCCGCGATGAACCACTTGAAGACGATAAGTCACTGCTGTTGGACAAAGAAGATGCCGCACACACGTCTTGTCCTTGAGCATGAGTACCCAATGTAGGAACGAGTCGGGCAGCATACTCCTCAGAAGAATAAAGAAGAGGAGGACTATCAACTTCCGCATGTGCCTCGGAACGAAGGGCGGTCACCCGCAAAGTGACTGGTTTCGAAGGCGTCGAGAGTGTCGTCGACTTACTCCGGGCGGTGCTACGTTTTCTGATTTGCCCTTGCCTTTCGGCGGGCAGCCCATTGTCTCGTGGAGATCGCTGTTACACCACAGACAATAACGAAATCTCGTGCGTGCCTTGTATGCTTGCTCTGAGATACCGTATTGGGACCATGGGGCTGGAGCTGTTGCACCAGGCCCGGGGCTAGATGTGGTGTTTGTCTTCGTCTTGCCGCGTCCTCGGCCTTTGTCGGGGCGGCCACCATCCCGGGCAGCTGCGAGTCTGTCCCCTTCATTGGTCGACACGGTCTCACTAGTTTGGTCGATTGGCATTGCCGCCACGACCACGACCACTTTCGGTCGATGCTGATCTCTGATCGGGCCTGTCGCAGACGAACGGTGGAGTTTCTTAGCCTCCTTGTTCGTGACAATAATCTCCGCGGCCTTGTCGAAGAGCTCCGTCGGTGTCGTCAGGGTGTCCTCGATGTGAGTCAAGGCATTGCCTAACGCCGGACACGACCTCGAGATGAAGTAGTGTTTGATGTCTTTGAAGCCCATTTCAATGTCTGGGACGGATGTCAAGCATTGGTACTCGGCAATCCAGTCAACACTCGGCAGCGTGCCTTGTTCGAAGACCATCAGCTTGTCCATTGCCTTGATCTTCGGCAGCTCTACTTGGAACTGCTTATGCCACGCTGCCTTTAGATCATCCTAGCTGATCTTGGTATGCAGGTCGGCAGCCACCACTCCGTATTTGGAAAGGAGATTGTCAAGTCATACTTGGCACGCGCCCCCCCAGCGGGAGTATAAGTACGCGTGACGCTTGTGCTCGCTGATGTAGTGTAGCTGCAACTTGAGTTCGAACTTACGGAACCACGGAATCGGGTCTGTCTTCGTCGAATCGCAAAAGATCTCCTGATCATCGAACCTTAGAGTTGTCTCTCGCAGTTCCGATCTCGAGTGAGTGGCGGCAGTACAGATCTGCTATTCCAACTGTTGTGTGGCGTTTTGTTGTAACTGCACGCCGTCCATGAGGGATCCTGCGTCAATCTCCAATGTCTCAAGGTGATCGGAGGTGTTGGAAGAGTTGGCATCAGGGGCGGCAACAGTTTGTTCCAGTTGCTGGAGGCGGTTGGTGAGTTGGTCAAACACCTGATTGTGTGTCTGAACCACGTTGTCGAGTTTGTGAATGTCCTCCTGCTATGCAATGCACGTGGCCAGGAGGTCCGTGCGATGGGAGAGGAGTAGAGCGATCTTGTTTCCACTCTCTTCCAGCTTCCCGTTCTCAACCTCGGCCCGCTAGTCCGCTGCCATTGTGAGCAAAGCTCGCTCTCTGCCGAATATCTTCTCGCGTCGTTGAAGTCGTTCTTCATCGGCAGCCTTTGCTACTGCCTCGTCTTGTTTGCGCTGCTGTTCAATTGCCAACAGATGTGCCTTTTCGACATCCTCTGCCTTCTTCTTTGTTGCGGCTGCTACTGCATCCGATCGTTGCTTGGCTTCGGTAATCAGAAGTAGCATCCGGGTCTGATAAGCCTCGCCCGTTTCCCCGGACATCTGGTCCATGACGGATGTTTGCAAGCGCGTAAGCATAGACCAGGCCGGGGGCCTGCTGACGTGGTACTCCCTGCTGCTGACGTGGCACTGCTGTCGGCTGACGTGGCCTGCTGACGTGGTCTGCTGATGTGGTCTGCTGACGTGGCCTGCTGACGTGGTTTCCTAACATGGCCTGCTGATGAGGCAACTCACCAATGTCGTCGCAGGGGGTACCCGGAGACAGATAGGGAAGGTAAGATCAGAGGGGGCATCAAAGTAGGTGGGGAGGGGTGGGTGGGGATAAATCGCCCATATAAGGAGCCACTAATCAAAAAAAGAAAAGTTTGAACTTTGCAACAAAAATTTCGAGAGAATAAAAATCCCAAGTTTTGCAAGTTCAGTATGTATCCCAACCTCCCTTGAAGTGCGAAATTATCAATGAGAAAAAAAATTCGAACTTTCAGACTGTCAATGATTATCAGGTAGCAAAAATCATAGAAATGTGAATAAGAAAAATTCCGAAAAGAAATAACATACAACAAATACTCAGGATTACTCAGATAAGAGTACGCGCAGTTTGGAAAATGGTACTGCAAGAGGGATTTCCCATACCGTTTAAAAAAAAATGAATTTTGAGAAAAAATATTTCGAACTTCTAAATAACGGGAAATTGCAAAAAGAAATCGAAATTTTTAAAAAACAGATATTCCGGATTTCCAACAATGAAAATTATGAAATTTTGAATTTTCATAAGGAAAACGAAAACAAAAAGGGCGTCGTTAAACAGTCCATATGAGTTCCTTGCGCCACAAGGAATTTTCCTTCTGGCTCGTAAGGGAATTTGGGCTCT